AAATCCTGGAAAAGTCATGGAATTTTAGTCTCTTTCCCGTAACTACAGTGTTCTGTTAAGATCTCATGAGGCTGTTCTGATTATTTCTGAACGTCTGCGACTTTTGTTTAGTCCTGGTTTAGTCTTAATTTAAACCTGGTTTAGTCCTGGTTTAGTCCCAGTTTAGTCCTGGTTTAGTCCTGACTTAGTCCCGGTTTAGTCTTAATTTAATCTTGGTTTAGTCCTGGTTTAGTCCTAATTTAGACCTGGTTTAGTCCTAGTTTAGACCTAGTTTAGTCCTGGTTTAGTCCTGGTTTAGACCTGGTTTAGTCCTAGTTTAGACCTAGTTTAGTCCTGGTTTAGTCCTAATTTAGACCTGGTTTAGTCCTAGTTTAGACCTAGTTTAGTCCTGGTTTAGTCCTAGTTTAGTCCTGGTTTAGTCCTAGTTTAGACCTGGTTTAGTCCTGGTTTAGTCCTGGTTTAGACCTGGTTTAGTCCTGGTTTAGACCTGGTTTAGTCCTGGTTTAGACCTGGTTTAGTCCTGGTTTAGTCCTGGTTTAGACCTGGTTTAGTCCTGGTTTAGACCTGGTTTAGTCCTAGTTTAGACCTGGTTTAGTCCTGGTTTGATCCTGGAACAAAAAAATCGCATTTAAAATAAAAACAACGCGTCAAGAGTCGAGGTCAAATTAGACTTAAACAAACTTTATTGATTCACAAGATAAATTATTTAGACACAGGAGCTCAAACATCACAATAAAATATAATGACAAAGATTAAAAAAAAATAAAAAAAAAGTTTTAACGAGTCCAAAACCGAGTAATAATTATAGAAGGAGGCGCTCTGGCTCCATCTAGCGGTCAGGACAGGAACAGCAGGTCAAAATAACAGTTTCAAGGTAATTTAAGATTTACACATATTTGGTATTTACAAGATTAAAATAAACACAGAAAATAACCAGCAGTGTTGGGAAGGTTACTTTAAAAATGTAATCCCCTACAGATTACAGATTACACACCCCGAAATGTAGTTTATTCTGTCCTTCATTTCATTTGAATTCTGTTGGTTTGGGTTTGTGTAAAGTGTTAGTGTTTTCCCCTGTTTGTCCAGTAGAGGGAGACTTTGTCATTATATCTTCACTTTTCCGTTCTTCTTCTTTAATTAGTTTATGCGTGGCAGCGCCATCTAGCGGCCTCCACTTGTAAGCGCAAGACAAGTCAGTAACGGTTTTGGAGGTGCTAAGACCAAACCAAACTTGTGAAATCTTGGGAAACCCTGGGCAAACCATAATCTGTAAGTTACATGCGATTAAATGATATTTTCTGTGTTACTTGATGGGATATTTTTATGTTTAATATATGTATAAAAACGTTTTTGTTTCTGTTAACTGTTATATTCTAGCCACACAGTCTGTACATGTTAATACTGAAGTATTTCTTGTATCTGTTTCACAGTTTTACAAAAAAGGATAAATGGTCTTGAAACATAAAGCCGCATCTTGTCTTTTCTGGGACCATTTTGATGTTAAGCTGCCGAGGCTTAGGTTGGAAAACACTTAACTGGAGGCAGAAGATAGTTTATAACGTAATCCATTAAACTACTTAAAGTGAGTAATGTAATCTGAATACTTTGGATTACTTGATATTGTCCTGGTTTTAGTCCTAGTTTTAGTCCTGGATTAAGTCCTGGTTTAGTCCTAGTCCTGGTTTAGTCCTAGATTTAGTCCTGGTTTAGTCCTGGTTTAGTCCTGGTTTAGACCTGGTTTAGTCCTGGTTTAGTCCTGGTTTAGTCCTAGTTTAGTCCTAGTTTAGACCTGGTTTAGTCCTGGTTTAGTCCTGGTTTAGACCTGGTTTAGTCCTGGTTTAGTCCTGGTTTAGTCCTGGTTTAGTCCTGGTTTAGTCCTGGTTTAGTCCTGGTTTAGTTCCTGGTTTAGTCCTAGTTTAGTCCTGGTTTAGTCCTGGTCCTGTTTAGTCCTGGTTTAGTCCTGGTTTAGACCTGGTTTAGTCCTGGTTTAGTTTAGACCTGGTTTAGTCCTGGTTTAGTCCTGGTTTAGACCTGGTTTAGACCTGGTTTAGTCCTGGTTTAGTTTAGTCCTGGTTTAGTCCTGCCTGGTTTAGTCCTGGTTTAGTCCTGGTTTAGTCCTGGTTTAGTCCTGGTTTAGTCCTGTTTTAGACCTGGTTTAGACCTGGTTTAGACCTGGTTTAGTCCTGGTTTGATCCTGGAACAAAAAAATCACATTTAAAATAAAAACAACGCGTCAAGAGTCGAGGTCAAATTAGACTTAAACAAACTTTATTGATTCACAAGATAAATTATTTAGACACAGGAGCTCAAACATCACAATAAAATATAATGACAAAGATTAAAAAAAATAAAAAAAGTTTTAACGAGTCCAAAACCGAGCAATAATTATAGAAGGAGGCGCTCTGGCTCCATCTAGCGGTCAGGACAGGAACAGCAGGTCAAAATAACAGTTTCAAGGTCATTTAAGATTTACACATATTTGGTATTTACAAGATTAAAATAAACACAGAAAATAACCAGCAGTGTTGGGAAGGTTACTTTAAAAATGTAATCCCCTACAGATTACAGATTACACACCCCGAAATGTAGTTTGTAACGTAATCCATTAAATTACTTAAAGTGAGTAAATGTAATCTGAATACTTTGGATTACTTGATATTGTCCTGGTTTTAGTCCTGGATTAAGTCCTGGTTTAGTTTAGTTTAGTCCTGTTTTAGTCCTTTTAGTCCTGGTTAGTCCTGTCCTGTTTAGTCCTGGTTTAGTTTAGTCCTGGTTTAGTCCTGTTTGTCCTTTTAGTCCTAGTTAGTTTAGACCTGGTTTAGACCTGGTTTAGTCCTGGTTTAGACCTGGTTTAGACCTGGTTTAGTCCTGGTTTAGTCCTAGTTTAGACCTGGTTTAGTCCTGGTTTTAGACCTGGTTTAGACCTGGTTTAGTCCTGGTTTAGTCCTGTTTTAGTCCTGGTTTAGTCCTGGTTTAGTCCTGGTTTAGTCCTGGTTTAGTCCTGGTTTAGTCCTGGTTTAGTCCTGGTTTAGTCCTGGTTTAGTTTAGACCTGGTTTAGTCCTGGTTTAGTCCTGGTTTAGTCCTGGTTTAGTCCTAGTTTAGACCTGGTTTAGTCCTGGTTTAGTCCTGGTTTAGTCCTGGTTTAGTCCTGGTTTAGTCCTGGTTTAGTCCTAGTTTAGACCTGGTTTAGTCCTGGTTTAGTCCTGGTTTAGTCCTGGTTTAGTTTAGTCCTGGTTTAGTCCTGGTTTAGTCCTGTTTAGTCCTAGTTTAGTCCTGGTTTAGACCTGGTTTAGTCCTGGTTTAGTCCTAGTTTAGTCCTGGTTTAGTCCTGGTTTAGTCCTAGTTTTAGACCTGGTTTAGTCCTGGTTTAGTTCCTGGTTTTAGTCCTTTAGTTTTAGTCCTAGTTTAACCTGGTTTAGACCTGGTTTAGTCCTGGTTTAGTCCTGGTTTAGTCCTACTTTAGTCCTGGTTTTAGTCCTGGTTTAGTCCTAGTTTTAGACCTGGTTTAGTCCTGGTTTAGTCCTGGTTTAGTCCTTTAGTTTAGTCCTAGTTTAGACCTGGTTTAGTCCTGGTTTAGTCCTAGTTTAGACCTGGTTTAGTCCTTTTAGTCCTGGTTTAGTCCTAGTTTAGTCCTGGTTTAGTCCTGTTTTAGACCTGGTTTAGTCCTTTGGTTTAGTCCTAGTTTAGACCTGGTTTAGACCTGGTTTAGTCCTGGTTTAGTCCTGTTTAGTCCTTTAGTCCTGTTTAGTCCTGGTTTAGTCCTAGTTTAGACCTGGTTTAGTCCTGTTTAGTCTGGTTTAGTCCTAGTTTAGTCCTGGTTTAGTCCTGGTTTAGTCCTAGTTTAGACCTGTTTAGTCCTGTTTAGTTTTAGTCCTGGTTTAGTCCTGGTTTAGTCTGGTTTAGTCCTGGTTTAGTCCAGTTTAGACCTGTTTAGACCTGGTTTAGACCTGGTTTAGTCCTGGTTTAGTCCTAGTTTAGTCCTGGTTTAGTCCCAGTTTAGTCCTAGTTTAGACCTGGTTTAGTCCTGGTTCAGTCCTGGTTTAGTCCTAGTTTAGTCCTAGTTTAGACCTGGTTTAGTCCTGGTTTAGTCCTAGTTTAGTCCGAGTTTAGACCTGGGAGCCAGAGTCAGAAGGAGCCAGAGGAGCCACACGTGAACTTCCTGTTTGAACCGCGACTTTTAGCATGTTGTTCATTTATATACACAGTCTATGCTTCTGTACAGTTTTTCCATAGGTTCAACTCTTTAACAAATAAACATCTTTTCATTATTTTTGTTCTAATTTTCTAAAATCATACACCACAATCAGAATAAAACCTTGCAGCCCCTGGGCAGAGGAAACAAAAGTCCTGCAGAAATAAACATTAAAATCATCCAAACAAGGACGACTTGAGAGGAGATAACCCCACTCTGAACTAAAAGTAAAGTGCAACCGCTCAATCACAGCTTCTTAAAACCCCAAGGTGCAAACTACAGTGTACGAGCTAAACCTTCCCAAGCACGAACCGACAACTTCAACCAAAATACAGCTAAAAGCTCGAGGACGGCAACTGTTAAAATGTGCAGCAGAGCTAAAGACAAATAATGAAATAACTCTGAAACGATAGACAAAATGAAACTCTCAAAACAAATCTCAGGAACAGTAAATGTAACTTTACCAAAGCAAATCAGTAACAAACCAAACCTGCGATATAAAAAAGACACCGTCAAATCTCAGTAACCCGGCTGAAAAGATCTGACACGGACTGCTTTAAAATAACAATTAAACACATAAAAAACGATTTAAAAGAGCTAAAATAAGCACAGGAAGTTTGTGTCAGACGATCTACCCACACGACCTTAAAAAGATCGACTGGTAGATCGAGATCGACGTCTCCATTGAAAATAAGCCCCACTGACTTAGAGCCTCTGACTGAGACACGCTCACAGTTCCTCCGGGCCGTGACTTTAGATCTCACTGACGGACTTTACTTTTTAATAAAATCCTGTAACAGAGGAGGACAAGTCCAGACAAAACTTTATAGATAAAACATCCATATTTAAAATCAACAAAATTATTAAAATGAAGCAGGTTGTACTTGTGTAAAATAGTGCAGCAGTGAAATGAGAATAGTTTCTTGTCCAGTATTTTTATTCCTTTTTTACTGGATTTAAGAACAGCGTTTACTTGCTTTTCATATTTAAAATTGTAATCAAAAATGACTCCAAGATTTGTAGAAAATGCACCTGGAGTCATGGTGCCACCACAATAACTTGGTTTTAAACGCTAAAAAGACCAAGGAGATTGTTGTGGATTTCCGCAGAAAAGGTCACAACAACCATCTACCTCTCCTCATTGGCACCGAGGTGGTGGAGAGGGTGAGCAGCTTCAAATTCCTGGGGGTAACCGTGACTGAGGACCTGTCCTGGGACAATCACATCACCTCAGCCGTACGGACGTCCCAACAGCACCTTTACTACCTGAGGAAATTGAGGAGTGCCCACATTCCCAGACCTCTGATGTTGAACTTTTTACAACTGTGCCGTCAGCAGTGTTCTGACGTATGGTTTTTTGGTTGGTTTTGACCAGCAGACACTCCAGCAGGTGGTGAAAGCAGCCGGTAGAATCACTGGAACGACTCTGCCAGGAATCAGCACCGTCTACTCCACTCGCTGTCTGAGAAGAGAGCACAACATCCTGCGGGACCAACTTCACCCTGCGCACCCTTTTTCCACCTGCTGCCCTCAGGGAGAAGGTCCAGGTCCAAACGGGCCAGAACATCCAGACTGGCCAACAGAACTCTGCCCCTCTCCCCCCTTGGCCCCTCTCTGCCCCCCCCTCTCACGGACAAAAACCACATCCAACTTTTAAAGGTTGTAAAGAAGATTTTCCAAAGAAAGAGAAATGCAGCGACTGTTTGCTCTTTTTCAAATGTCGCTCTTCGCTCCTTTTCCCCCATCTCTTCTTCTTTCCATGACGTCAAAAACGGACTTTCTTTTGCGACGAACTGGTCACGAATTCTTGACGGCCATTACAACAAACTCTGTGTGAACTGAGAGGAAGCTACAGTTCGAAAAAGACGCCAAGAAACCGCTGTGCTGGTCGAGTAAACGGCATCAGTGCGTGAGAGGCAAACATAAACCGTGTGATCCCAGTGCGCCGGCAAGTCAGTGACGCTAGACACGTAGGAAGTTTGATTGACAACTCAACAGCCAATAGATAAAGAGGTAGCCTTGTTTTCTATTGGCTGATGTTTATCCGGTCTCACCACGTCCACAGTTGATGGATTTTCATTCTTTTTTTTTTTTTTGGTTACCATAATTACAAGGCTGCTGCATCTCTATAATTCTATTTTGAACTTTCACTGACAATTTGAAACAAACAAAAAAATCCTCCATACAACCTTTAATAACACTGAACTGGTTGCACTGGTGCATTTTTCTGTCATGATTCTCAGGTGTCTGTCTGAACGTCCCTGTCTGTGTACGTTACTTGACACCCTCATCTTGCTGCTATAAGAACCGTCTCATGTTGTACTGAGGCCACGCTGGGTCAATGTTTACACTTGGGTTTAAGGGGTATTTATTATTTATGGGTTTGCACTTTATGGGAGGCTCCAAACGCAATTTCTTTGTTCTTCTGTGACAATGACTAGAAGTTGAAATAAACAATAAACAATAAAATGCTTTTTCATAGGAGCGAAGAGGAACTATGGCTCTGTCACAGTTCATCAACAGATCAATACATCGTCCGTTGTTTTAGTATCGTGACGTATCGAATCGTGACGTGAGTATCGTGATGTGCATCGTATCGTTATATTCAAAGCATCGCACACCCCTTTATTCCACATTAAACCGTAGTATTTTCTTTTCTATTCCCGTGTGTCCTTTTGTCTCACAGGTTCATTTTGTTTGTGAAAAATAAGGATCTAGTTTCGATACTTGTTTTGGTATCAGTTACTATCTGATTTTCGATATTTCTGACCCGATTTCAGACACAAACCAAACCAGAGAAATGTCTTTAGTTATTTATTCAACTTTTTTTTGTACATTTCTTTGTTTTTCTGTTTTGTTTAATGCACAAACAATATAAAACTGTGCATTCCTCAATGGTTTAACACGGTTAAGTTTTGAAATGACAGAAAAACCACAAGGTACAATTCAACCGAACAGGAAACGTCACATCTACACACACAAACTATATTTACCTCCTGACACAGATCAGTGTCACACAGTGAAGAAAAAAAAAAAACACTTTACACAAACATGTTTACTGAAGTTCAAATATCAAATTAAATAATATAAAAATATAATGTGCAGAGATTAATGCTGGTGCATGTTTTATTTCATCATTTCATACAAAAACAATATTTAAACTAGAACCAAACCAGAACTGAACCAGAACTAGAACAGAACCAGAAGAAAACCAAAGTACACGGTCCTCAGTTACAATTAATAAACTTTCAGAGACTTTTCTAACAACGTACTTCTACATAACTGACATTTTCTTTTTTTCTTTTCTTTTTCATATTTTGAAGTAGGTTTTTAATTTAATTATTTGGACCTGACTTCATCATCTCACTCGAGTCACTGAATGTTCAATCAAAAAAGTGACTTTGAAAAGTTGAAACTCAACGAGAAATGTTGACGATGTCGATGCTGACTTGTTGATACGGACGCTTTTTGTCGACCAAAACAGCTGACGTGACGTAATCGTGTTTTCTCAGATACGTTCGTACTAATGTCGCCGATTACAGACCACGGTGTCATTTTTATATTACTTGGCTAATGCACTTTAAAGCATTAATTTCATTTCTCTCCAGCAGTGTTGGGGAGTAACAGATTACATGTACTGGAGTTATGTAATCAGAGTACAGATGGTGAGTAACTGTATTCAGTTACAGTTACTGTTTCAGTGAGTGGTAATTGGATTACAGTTACTTTGTTGAAATAAATGGATTAAACAGAGGGATTTTACTGTTTTCACTTTATTTTTATTTTATTTATTTTGTTTTCGGTAATTCCACTCATTGCTGGAAACTAAACCAGGACTAAAACTAGATCTAAACCAGGTCTAAACCAGGTCTAAACCAGGTCTAAACCAGGTCTAAACCAGGACTAAAACTAGATCTAAACCAGGTCTAAACTAGGACTAAAACTAGATCTAACCCAGGTCTAAACCAGGACTAAAACTAGATCTAAACCAGGTCTAAACCAGGACTAAAACCAGATCTAAACCAGGTCTAAACCAGGACTAAAACAGGATTTAACAGGACTAAACCAGGACTAAAACCAGATCTAAACCAGGACTAAAACAGGACTAAAACAGGATTTAACAGGACCATGCTGCATGGACGTGTCTCCTCCTCTTTTATCAATAATATTTTTAATATGGTTAAGTTTCCTCGTCTTTGCTTCTCTACAGCAAATCAAGTAATCCAAAGTATTCAGATTACATTACTCACTTTCAGTAATTTAATGGATTACGTTACAAACTACATTTTGGGGTGTGTAATCTGTAATCTGTAGGGGATTACATTTTAAAAGTAAACTTCCCAACACTGGTTATCACATCATCTTCGTCCTTCTGCCGCCTGTTAAAGGTTGTATGAAGGATTTTTTGTTGTTGTTGTTTCAAATTGTCAGTGAAAGTTTTAAATACCATCACAGAGACGCAGCAGCTTTGTAATTATGATGATGAACAAAAAAAAAAAGAATGAAAATCCATCAACCGTGGACGTGTTGAGGCCAGATAAACATCAGCCAATAGAAAACGAGGCTCCCTCATTTTCTATTGGCTGTTGGGTTGTCAATCAAACTCCCTACGTTTCTAGTGTAAATGACTCGTCGGCGCACGGAGATTTCACGGTTTATGCGACGGTTCTTAGAGGCTTTTTCGAACTGTCGCTTCCTCGCAGTTCGCGCAAAGTTTGTCGCGATGTCGGACGAGAATCCACGACCGGTTTGCCGCCAAAGAAAGTCGGTTTTAGAGGTCGATGAAAGACGAAGAGCAGGAGAAAAAAGGAGCGAAGCCAAACTGAGGTGATTCTTGGAGATTTCTTCCAGCAATTGCGCAAATGAAGCAGACGAAGGGTCTTAAAAACTGACGCGTCGCTAAATTATTTTCAACTTCAACAGTAATTCTGAACGCGCACTGGCTGTAAACAAGCGTGATTTCTAGAGTAAAGAGGCGGGAGGAGGAGGTGTTTCTACTGAGGAGCTGTGGAGGAGGAAGGTGGTGTCACACATGCGCAACATTTGAAAAAGGACTGTCGCTGTATTTCTCGTTCTTTAAAAAATCCTCTATACAACCTTTAAGAGGCTTAGCACGGTCGCTCCTTACACTTCTCCACCATCTTCAGACTGCAGCCTGAAGTTCCCAAAACCAATTTTTTGGCCTCTATGTTCCTGTATCTGATCTTTTAATGTCAGTCTGAACCACACAGATCCGATTTTTTCAAATGTGACCCAGGACACTTGGATATGTGCTCCTGAAACTGATACATATCTGATCTTTAACATGTGACTTCAGTGTGAACGGACAAAGTGCATTCATCCACCTACACGTTATCAACAAGACACAAACGTACACAAACATTCTTCTCGTCGTACGAAAATTGTTAATGAACTCCGTGTGACTGAAGTGAAGCACATCTCCACTCACCGCTCACAAACACACCTTTCTACGACAAAACACCACGACCAAAAACCTCGTCCTTCTCCTTCTCAATCTCCTCCTTAAAACAAATAAGTTGTTCATGTTCTGGCTCCGGTACGAGAGGAACTTTAAAATCTCTCTCGCTCGCTGCGGTTGACGTCGTCGTGTCTCCAGTGTCACATGTGAGACACTTTTGGGCCGTTTAATGTTCACACTGGAGTCACATACAAGTCACATTTAATTGGAAATGTGAACGACCTCGAAAAAACATTGAATTTCACAAAAAACAATCCGAATTGAGCGTTAAGCCCTGCAGTCTGAACATAACCATAGTGACTGTTACTGCTGTTGTGGTAAATGTTGTTGGGAAATACCCTGGACTATTACTCTTAAATACTTTTAAATACTGTTGCATATGGTTAAACATTGTGACTGTGAACTTGACTGTGTACTTTAACTATCAAACCTGACAAATGATCTGCAGATTGTAAAGATTTGGCGTTTTGTTAAATGTTTTTTCACGTGTCCGTTACTTAATATACGTCACCAGCCACAAACCAAAATCATCAGCCGAACCCTCTCCTCTGACCTAGTCCACAATAACTTATTTTTAACCCTTTTGGCCAGAATTTACACATATGCTGCATTAACAATTAAAAAGTACATGTGTGTAATAAAAAGTAGTAGAGGAGCGGCAAAACCAAACTTCACAGCAACTTCAGGAATAAGGTGGATAAAGAAGTTGACTCGAGTGGACAGACGTCCTTTTTGACCGGAACAATCCCGATTCTGAGCCTGTGTCTCTGCCTCAGATTTACACAAAACCACAGATTTGTCCCACTTTTTCTACAAACGTCCCAGATGTTTCTATTTTTGACCAGTCTGATTCTCGTCAACAATAAAGAGAGAAATAAATTGTCATTTGTTTGGACAAAATTCAGAAAACTGAGCTTGAAAATGACCAGAACACAAAATCATATTCTCAGTTGCTCTGACTCTCTGAGGTTAAACATCAGTGAATATGTCATGAATGAACTGAGAGCACAACTGTGTCCTTAATTATCCCAAACAAAGACATCCCAGTTTTTGATTCATAAAATCTGGTCACCCACAGTGTTCAGCTTCAGTCAAATGACGTTGTTTTATTTAAAATACTCCTGTATCTCTTCACTGCTCTTAGTGTCTCCCATCTCCACCATGGTTTTAATCAGGTTGATGCAGGTGTCTGGGGAGATGGTTTTGCGTCGAATGACTTTGAGGTGGATCAACATGTTTTTAACAGTATCTTCACTTGACTCTAGGGGGCGCAGTAATCCAGGAATAAATCTCTGATTCGATTCAAGCACAAGACCGAGAAGGAAACGCTGGAAGTAGTACAAGGTACCACTGTTCATCTTCAGAACTTTGTTGACCACCATCTTTAGAAGGTCAAACACTGGAGGTCTGGAGGAGGACTCTGATGACTCTAGACCCAAGAAGGAGCTCAGCTCTGGAGCCCAGGGTTTGTTGTTGGTAAAACAGTCGTAAACATAAAGAGCAGCAAAGAACTCTTGTACGATCGGGTGCACAAAGAAATACACGTTCTGCTGCAAAAACAGCTGCTCTTGTTGGAGAATGGAGCTGAAAAACCCAGATTCAACTGTGGCTTCTTTGAACTCAAGTCCACACTGTTGTAGATCTTCTTCATAAAAGATCAGGTTGTTGTTTAGCACGTGGATGAAGGCCAGTTTGCCGACTTTAAGGAGGAACTCTCTTTTAGCTTTTAGAAGCTTGGTTCTCTCTTTCTCTGGGGTCTTGTCATATTTTCTGCTGCTGCGCTTGGTTTGAATAAACACGAACGCTGCCATCATCTCAGTGAGGGTCTGAGGAGCTCCAGTCTGCTCCTCTCCTCCAAACACCTCCTCAAATAAAACAGAGTACATCCAGCAGAAGATGGGGATCTGGCACAACAAGTCCAGTGAATGTGATGACTTCACATGTGAAATCACCATTTCAGCGAGCTCTGGTTTGTTCCTGAACCTCTTCCTGAAATATTCTTCCTTTTGGAGATCGTTGAAGCCTTGAATCTCAGTGACTGTGTGGATGAACTCTCCGGGGATCTGATGAGAGGCCGCTGGCCGAGAGGTGACCCAGAGCTGGGCTGAAGGGAGCAGGTTTCCCTGGATCAGGTTCAACATGAGGTTGGACACAGAAGTGACCTCCTGCAGCGATGTGACTCTCTCTGTGTTTCTGAAGTCCAGCTCAAACCGGCTCTCATCAAAACCATCCAGGATCAGGATCACTTTAGTCCAGTCTAAGACCTGTGGGTCTGTGCCGCTCAGAGCCGGGTGGAAGTCTGTCAGGAGCTGGAGCAAACTTATCTCATTTTTGATCAAATTAAGCTCTCGAAAAGCCAGACAGAAAACAAAATGAGCATCTTTTTGAGCAGCGTCTTCAGCCCAGTCCACAATGAACTTTTGGACACAAAAAGATTTTCCAATTCCAGCCACTCCGTTTGTCAGGACAGTTCTGGTCTTCACTGGTGGAGAATGGAAAAGATCATTGAATTGGACCTCTGCTACCTGAGAATCTGTTCTTTTCATCATCGTGGAGTAGTGTCCTGGGAGAACTTCTCTCTTGCCAAAGTTGATGGACAGTGAAGTGTAGATGTGTTTCAGGGGACTCCTCTCATCTCCGTTTCCTTCAGTCGTCATAGAAAACCTTTTGTGCATCTCCTCCTTCAGTTTCACAATTAAGTGAAAGAGTTTATCGTCCCCTGGAACATGAACAAAAAGATGAGTGAGTGTTTGCTGCAGTACCAGAAGTAACCACTTGAGTACAGGTTAGATGATGGACACATGGGCCTAGGTGAGGCCTGGACTCACCTGTCAGGAGTCTGAGCGCCTGTAGAGTTGGTGTGAGTCTCTGTTTGGTTTCACACTGAGGACAGTGGATATGACCTGTTGTCTGTGACTCAGTGTTCTTCATTACACAGCGAGTACAGGCCACATGAGAACAGCTCAGAAACATGGGATCTCCTTCAAAAGTCTCTTCACAAACACAACAACGTGGAACCAGGGGTCTGCAGGAAACAAAAGATTTATTCAGATACAGTGTTCACACAGGTACAGTGGACCCAAAGTGTGATTCAGTCTTTGGCAGTTCAGGTTTAACAGATTCCATGGGCAGAATGCTCAGATAAGTTGTGTTCACTTGATATCAGAAGGTTCTAGGATCCCTGTAGTTAAACAGGTCAGAATTCTCAGGTGGAATTCGCTGTAACCGTGAGTTTGCAGATTTGTTGTCCTGGTTTATGGTTTACTGGGACTATCCACATGAAACAAAAACTGACACAAAGCGTATGGCCCTCTCCATCACCGTGAACAGTGGCGTCTGAACAATAGACGCAAGTTCGCTGCACTCCCTAACTTGACCTAGATTAAAAAAAAATGTATAAAGTCGCTATATGTTTAATATTTTGTTAAAATTGACCGTGTATCTGCATAGACATATATTTGTCATGTTAAAATCACTTTGAGTAATATCACTTTTATATCACTTTATTTGGTTCATGTGTTTGTTTTTTGCGTTCGCTGAGTTCGAGCGACTTAATGGAGTTCTATGGACGAGCCTGAAGTTTGGAGAAAACGTGACGTCATTTCGTTGCTTCTTCCCGTGACTTTACATCACAGACCTGAAGTACGTCTTGGGGCGCAGGGTGGGGACGACTTCAAATCAAGGGATTGATCTGAATAAACATTTATCACACACCTGACCTATTGTGATTGAGCTGCTCACTCTGTCCCGCCCAGCCCCAACTCCCCACTGCCGCCATCTTACTACTGTAGGCTGTGCTGTAGTACGTTGTGTTGTTGGGGCTGGGTGTGTGTTACGTTGTGTTGTTGGGGCTGGGTGTGTGTTGTGTGTGTTGTTGGGGCTGGTTGTGTGTCACGTTGTGTTGTTGGGGTGTTGTTGTGTTGTTGGGACTGGTGTGTGTTGTGTTGTTGGGACTGGGTGTGTGTCACGTTGTGTTGTTGGGGCTGGTTGTGTGTTGTGTTGTTGGGACTGGGTGTGTGTTGTGTTGTTGGGACTGGGTGTGTGTTACGTTGTGTTGTTGGGCTGGGTTGTGTGTTGTGTTGTTGGGACTGGGTGTGTGTGTTGTGTTGTGGGTGTGTGTTTGTTGTTGTGTGGGTGTGTGTTGTGTTGTTGGGACTGGGTGTCACATATATAATACATATATTTATCATATATATTTATAAATATATATAATAAATATTTTACAAAATGATGCCACCAGCCGCCACTGACCGTGAATAAACTAAAGTGAAATTATGTTTTCACAGTAGCTTCAGAAAATGTTTTTTAAGCCATATGAAGCTGTGAAGCCAATCTCTAACAAATAAGTTTGTGTATTTCTTTGTTGAATATTATATAATATATATTTATATTGGGCCCAAAGAACACAGCAGCTGCAGGAAAAAGCTTGTTCTCTGTAAACTTGTTCCTCTGGGCTTGAAAAGAGTCTGGGGTCAGTGATGTGTTTTGTTTGAGCAGGTTCATGGAGCGTTGATAACAGGACAAGAGGACAGAGGACTCAGGCTGTAAAAGCTCTGACAAATATAATCACACACAGATTTGTCCCAGATCATTCAGTCCAAACATCTCTAACATTTCTATTTATGAATAACAAGTGTCTAATGTCTCTGTCACACCTACAGTTTATTCATAATCACATGAGAAACACAAGTTGATTTACATGACACCAACATGAACCAACTTAAAATAACACAGTTCTGGTTACCTGTTTGGCTCCAGTTGAAAGGACAAAGGCTGAAACCCATAGATCGATCACTCTTCAGAGACAAAGGTCTGGGTCCAGTCGACTCCACAGTCTCCTCCAAACTATAAAATATGAACAAAAGAAATGTTAATATGAGAACATTTAAATGCATGACTCTTATGTAGAAACATCACTGGGCATAATTGCCTCAGGAACATGTTGAAAGTTCATTATATTCTTCTTTGACATAGAACTTCCTGTGGCCATGGCAGGAAGTGACGCTCCACAGAACTGAAACACATTTGACTTTATATAACTAAAAGAATCTGAATCGTGACAAGAGCGATTGTTCTGATCAATTACAAAATGTGTTTGTAATTAGGAAGAAGAAATATTCTGTGTTTTCTGAATGTAAAACAGAATAAATCAAATCAAATCTACTGTGGATGTGAAAACATTAAAGTCTGACTCAACATAAACTCTGCACACGAACATTTGAAACAGAAATGCAGCTGAAGTGAACAACACCTGCAGGACTGAAGGAGAGAGGGAGGGGAGGGGTCAAGAGAACTCTGACCTCTGACCTCTGACCCCTGTGGATCCTTCTGTTCAAACTGGGACATTTTAAATCTCAACATCAGAAAAGTTCATTTTTAATATTATTAAATTGTCTCCCATGGGAGAAATTTGTCTTGGGACATGGAGACATGAAAAAACAAGACAAAAACAATATTTATCTACAACCACTTCATAAACAAACAAGTTCTAAACCAGGACTAAACCAGGACTAAACCAGGACTAAACCAGGACTAAACCAGGTCTAAACCAGGACTAAACCAGGACTAACCAGGTAAACCAGGACTAAACCAGGTAAACCAGGTAAACCAAAACAGGACTAAACCAGGACTAAACCAGGTCTAAACCAGGTCTACTACACTAAACCAGGACTAAACCAGGACTAAACCAGGTCTAAACCAGGTCTAAACCAGGACTAAACCAGGACTAAACCAGGTAAACCAGGACTAAACCAGGACCAGGTAAACCAGGTCTAAACCAGTAAACCAGGACTAAACCAGGACTAAACCAGGACTAAACCAGGACTAAACCAGGACTAAACCAGGTCTAAACCAGGACTAAACCAGGTAAACCAGGACTAAACCAGGTAAACCAGGACTAAACCAGGACTAAACCAGGACTAAACCAGGGACTAAACCAGGTAAACCAGGACTAAACCAGGACTAAACCAGGACTAAACCAGGACTAAACCAGGTCTAAACCAGGACTAAACCAGGACTAAACCAGGACTAAACCAGGACTAAACCAGGACTAAACCAGGTCTAAACCAGGTCTAAACCAGGACCCAGGACTAAACCAGGTCTAAACCAGGTAAACCAGGACTAAACCAGGACTAAACCAGGACTAAACTAAACCAGGACTAAACCAGGTAAACCAGGACTAAACCAGGACTAAACCAGGACTAAACCAGGACTAAACCAGGACTAAACCAGGACTAAACCAGGTCTAGACCAGGTCTAAACTAGGAGGAAAGACCACAGCCTGGTCCTGGTCTAGACCAGGTCTAGACCAGGACCAGGCTGTGGTCTTTCCTCCTGCTGTACGTCACGAGTATTTTTTTTAACATTTGGACCAAAATGACGACGCTGCACAAAGCCACACATAGTGAGGAGGGTGAAAACAGGGTTTGATCTGCAGGCGTCTTGAAAATAAACAACTAAAGATTAAAAATCAAACCTGCACAAATCAGTCCAAATACTGACATTTCACAAACTATTTGTATCCACTGTGTGACCGTGTTTTCTGTGGGTTGTTGCCTGTTTAAGACTTGTAATAAAACCAGTGTTGAACATTGATGAGGAAGAGTCTTTTGACCTTGTTCATGGATCATGTGAAAATAAAGAAACATCTGATCTTTTCCTGAAGGAGTTTTGGTTTCATTTATATGGAAACAGGCGTCAGAAATGACTTTTAAAATGTTCGTCCTGTTGACCACACTGGCCCCAAACTCTGACAGACTCATACCTGCTGGAGCCAAGTTTCCTCTTTTGAACAACATCAGCCTCTTTCTCCTCATCCGTCTGAATCTTCCTCTTCCTCTTCCTCTTCCTCAGTGTTTCCTTCTGTAGATTCGTCATCTTTGCTCCTGTAGGGACAAAATAATAGTGAGACAAATGTAGTGACCAGATTTTCAAAATCACAGATACAAGCGTCGAAATGAGTTTCCTCCGCAGGGTGTCTGGGCGTCTCCCTTAGAGACAGAGTGAGGAGCTCAGTCACACGGGAGGAGCTCGGAGTAGAGCCGCTGCTCCTCCACGTGGAGAGGAGCAGTTGAGGCTCGGGCATCTGTTCTGATGTCTCCTGGACGTGTCCCTCAGGAGGTGTTCATGTCCCACCGGGAGGAGGAAGACCCAGGACACACTGGAGGGACTATGTCTCTGGACTGGCCTGGGAACACCTCGGGGTTCCCCGGAGGAGCTGGAGGAAGTGTCTGGGGTGAAGGAAGTCTGGGAGTCCCTGCTCAGACTGAAGCCCCCGAGAACCGACCCCGGATAAGTGGAAGAAAATGGTATGGATGGATTTTCAAAATCATAAACTGGGACATCTCCTGTTTTTTTTTTTTTTGGTCATTGGTGATAATAAAATTGTGAATTTAGTGTAATTAAGGAAAATTGTTCTGTTCTCGGCCCATTTATGACGAACATGAGTCAGTTTAATCACATTTTCTTTGTGTTTTGTCATTTTTCTGTATTTTCCCGAAACAAATGTCAGTTTGTTTCTCTTGACCTGTTCCAGGATCAGATTGGTGAAAAATAGAGACACTGGGACATTTCTTGTATAAACTGGGACAGATCAGTGGTTTTGTATAAATCTGTGGGACAGAGACACAGACTCAAAACTGAAACTGTCCTGAGGAAACAGGGACGTGTGGCGTCTCTCGATCAGGAGAGTCAAACTCAAACTCACAGAGGCCAAAATTAAAAACTGGGACAAAGTCGTGGAGGAAACTAAATATTTATTGAAGTATTTCAACAACATCTGCAGGTTTTCTCTTCTTTGGAGATCAGTAATT